TGGGAAGGAAACGAGTCTCAGAGATTAACAAGGTCCCTGGAGGCCCTAGGCAGGCAGGAGAGAGGAGGGGAGGCTGCCTGGGTGGGTTCACAAGCTCGGCTCTGAGGACCCAGGCATGCGGGCATATCAGGGTGCCAGAACCCCCAAGTCTGAAGGGATCACAGCTGCTTTCTTTGCCCCTCCCCACAGTGCAGGGCCCTCTGTGCCGCATGCCAGCCTCCTCCGACTGTGCCTCCCTGGCCCTTTCCTGTGGATGATTCAGCAGTGTGGAGCTGGCGGCTGCTGTCTCATCACCCTGTCCCACATGCAGGATGCTTCTCCATGGGGCAGCAGTGCCTGCTCTAACTACCTCCCTTTTCGCTTCAGGTCTTGGGCACCATGTACACTGCCATCCCCAAAAGGTATGGAGATGCCCCACTGGGTGCTAACGTCCCTCCCCCTCACCCCGCATAAGGCCTGGGTTCCTGGATTTATCTCTAGGCTCCAAACCCCAAGAGCCACTTGTTCTGGAGTTGCCCATATGCCCGCGACTCCTGCTCTTCCCCACACACCTCTCCTCCACCAGCTTCAATGCAGCCCCTCTGTCTCTGGCAGTGGCTCCCCCTTTGATGCCTCCACGACGCAGCCAGGATTGCATATATGGCGGGTAGAGAAGATGAAGCCAGTGACCGTCCCCAAGGAGATGCAAGGTGTCTTCTACTCAGGAGACTCCTACCTGGTCCTGCACAATGGGGAGGATGAGCAGTCCCACCTGCACCTCTGGATCGGTGAGTTGCCACTGGCAGTATCCCCATGCACCCTCCTGCCCTGCTGCAGGGGAGCATGTGCCCCAGTCTTGCTACTGCCAAGGCACCCTCACCCTCCCATACACAGCAGCAGGGTTGTGTGGTTCTGCATGGAGGGGCTGTGGCTGAAGCTGCAGGACCTACAGTGCCCCCATCACCCCCTTCCAGGGATGGGTCTTTGCCAACTCCCTGGGCTGCAACTGGAGCTTCTTGAGGGCATCAGGGAACCAGCCTCACTGGCCTGGCGCTATCATTACCCCATGCTCCACATACTAAGGGGCACCTGGCAAGGGGGTGGTACCCCCTTCCAGAGCTAGCACAGCTGTGAAGGTGCCCCCTTCCAGAGCTGTCAGCCCAATGCCCTCCAAAACTTCTTGGGGCAAGGAGGGGTGTTCTGGCTGAGACAGGAGGTGAGGTGCTCTGTGCCCTGGGGAAGGTCCTCCAGGATGCCCTATGCCTGCCTACCAGGGCAGTGGCTCACCTCTTCCTCCTTGTCCTGTTCCTACCGCATCCAGGCCAGAGCTCGACAAGGGATGAGCAGGGGGCCTGCGCCGTGCTCTCCACCCACCTCAACCGCCTGCTTGGTGAGCGGCCCATCCAGTACCGTGAAGTGCAGGGCAATGAGTCTGACGTCTTCATGGAATACTTCCCCCGTGGAATCAAGTACCGGGTACCCGCACTGCGCAGGCCCATCCCCTGCCTCCCACTCCTGCATGTCCAGACCTCACCCCTCTCCTTTGCACCTGCCCCTGCCCTGTTTGCCCTCCTTGCCCAGCCTCATCTTCCCCTGCTCCTCTCTACTCTGCAGGAGGGCGGTGTGGAGTCGGCCTTCCACAAAGCCCAGCCTAGTGCAGGGGTTGGCCCCATCCCCATCCGTAAACTCTACCAAGTGAAGGGTAAGAAGAACATCCGGGCCATCGAGCAGGATCTGAGCTGGGCCAGCTTCAACACTGGTGACTGCTTCATCCTGGACCTCGGGGAGGTGAGAGGTGGTGGGTGGGGCCAGCCCATGCTTTGGCTTGGGGAGGGGCACAGTGGGGAACCCTGGAGCACATGGGGGTGGGCGCACTCATCAGTGTGGGTGGGGGAGGCATTAGGACTGAAATAGGACATTTGGCCAGTGCAGGGGTCATAGGCACCCCAGGCAGAGGTGCATGGGAGTGGGATGAACATATATCAGGCACTGGGCAGCTAGTGGGGTGACCCCCTTCAGCCTCTGTTCCCCTGTCCCATTCGTCACAGACCATCTTCACTTGGTGCGGCAAGAAATCCAATGTGCTGGAGCGCAACAAGGCCCAGGATTTAGCCATGGCCATCCGGGACAGCGAGCGGCGTGGCCGGGCCAGGGTGGAGATTGTGACTGATGGCGAAGAGCCAGCAGAGATGATCCAGGTTGGCTGGGGGCAGGGGTGACTGGTGCCTTCTGAGTTGGGGGGAGGAACGGCACAATTTGTGAGTGGGCCCAGGGGCAGGCCAAAAGCCCCATATCCACTCCTATACTTCTGTACCGTGGCTTAGTGCCCCCC